CCGGTGTTCTGTAAACAGTCATTATTGTAACCTTTCCCATATGCCTTTCCAGATGTGCGGCATCTCACAACTGAGCAGTGCTTTGCCGCGCGGCGTTGAAGATTGCGAAGTGCTTCTGGAGGCGTGGTGGTACCATGACGCTGGTTCCAGTGTGACTAAAACCAGTGTAGAAGCGGGAAATTAACACTTTGAGCCTTGAGGCGATGAAATAGGCTGCCAAGGCCCAATATGCTTGAGAATAGTAGGAAATGGGCTTTCCGCGCTACCATCTGCTGCACCTCTTATCGCGGTAAGCACTCGATACTCGGCTCCGAACACCGCAATATGAACGGCGATCATAGGACCCTCATATCCGCCGCTGGGAGGCTTCTGTGACAGTTCACAGGGGGCTCGCCGGTGTGTGACAGGTAGGCCATACAAACCTGCTGGAATCGCTCGGCTGTCACAGGGCTATGAAGGTCGAAGGTGGACAGGAATAGATATCTTACGTTCGCAGCGCCGGATCTCGCTTTTGCAGCGGCCGACAGTTTATTTCACTGTAATATACCTAATTTATTCGTGTTTTAGTGAGCCTACGTGCGTCTACACTCATCGTTGCGCGCAATACCGCAAATAAGTGCACAAAGTACACCGCATTTCGTTTTCGCGCCGCGCTTATCATAGATTTCCCTGCTTGAGCTATCATTATATCTAAATACGGAGAATCTGTGATGAGTACTAATGCGCAAAGGTTCGCAATTGTGCACATAACTGTCACGCCCATGATTCTCCAACTCCAAGCTATGTCTGTGCAGAGGCGTGGGTCAGTTTATCGGCAATTACGTAAGCATCATCAGGCGCCGCGCCGTACCCTATGACGCGTACCGCGTGATGTTATTATATAGAGTATACGCCGGGGTGCCACTTGGCCCTGGTCACCAGGACCCCTGACATTGGGCGGAGAGGCCTGATCCTGATTTTCGCCTGACCCGACCTTTTTATCCGCACAAAAATTTGTCCCTCTGGCTCAAAAAAGTACGGATTTTCCTCCGGCCCCGGCCTAACGGCCGGGTTTGGATGCGGATTAGGCACCAAGCCTCTACATCTTCAATAACTCGCGCTGTTTTGCATCCATAGGCACACCTGTAGTGCAAGTAACATCACTATGTACAACAAACTAAGTTCCTACCTCGCCTTTGCCACCATCTTCCGCTGCCACCGCCGCCGTCACTCTCTTCTCCCCTCACTTCCGGGAAGTGTCGAGAGCCTTCATGGCAGCTTTGATGGCCTTGGGATGGTAGAGGGTAGCGTTTAGCTCACGGAACACTTTGTATGCGATGCTGACTTCCCCAGGAAGGATGCACAACAAATGATCAGATGGAGCGTGAAGCAACAAGAGCGTCTGCAAAGACATAACGCGCTGATGAACGGCACGAAGCTGATTGGGCCCGAGGGCTTGTCTGCACAACCATATTGGACAGTAGACGTCGAGTAGCATACGGTTGTATAGACACATGAATAATATATTTTATTTGCGCCCTCGCTTGCATTCTTCGCTCTTACTTGCCGACCGTAGACGAACGCGGACGGCGGTGCGGTCTGAATAGCCACGAGAACGATTCCCAATTGGGGCACACCTTGTATTAAATACCGCACTAAAGGCTACCGATGTTGACAAGAAAAGTGATTCGAAAGATTTTTAGACCTTGGGCATCAGCCAAATGGGGCTGCCAACATGCCCCAAAAATCCGTATACGGACGGCCCTTAGGCCTTGTAGAGCGGCCGCTGGCGCGGTACGGATTATTCTTCCAGCATCCCCGGGTCCAAGCCCAGTTTTAGATGCGGATTGCCTCAGGCATGGGGGGTCCCGAGACCCCATTTTGGATGCGGATTGTCCTCAGGCCCCTTCGCTTAATGTCAGGGGTCCTTGGTCACCTCGCTGGTGACCCCTGTCGCCAGCGACCGAGGTCACCACCTGCGTACACGGCCCGTTGCTAGGGGTCGCGCCCGAAGCGGTAGCCCACCCGGGTGACCACCGGAGTTGTCCGAGCCCGCGCGATCGCGATCGGCACCCGCCCACCTCGCGCGCCCGAAGCGTCGGTCGACGCGCGCTCGCTCCCGGGACTGCCGCGGCCACCGATGCCGACCCTAAACGAGTCAAACTTGTGTAAATAGTCGAAATAACTCATTTTAGTTTTTATGTAGCCGCTATCTTGTCTGGGCTGTCTGATTTTGTCTGATTATGCCCAATTTCGTGAAATTACTTGCCTTGCGGCGCCTCGATCACCTGCGGCGCGCGCGCGCATCACTGAGCAAGCGCACTACGGCGCTGTGCACGCATCATGGGCTGACCGCAGGTCGGGCTCATCTTGAGGAACTACCAGGTTGTTGGCATCTTCACTCACCGCTCTCTTCTAGCTCTTCTTACGCTCGCCGACGCCCATCCTGTACGCTGATGGTGGTGCAAAGGCGATCGAGCTTGGCATCGTGGATGTTCTGTCAATGTTCTCAGAAGCAACGAACGAGTCGTTGTGCTTCAGGTATGTTCAAGAGAAGGCCACACCGCTTGTCTGTCCCACCACCTACGCCTTCGCCATTCGCACAACAATCGCATAGCGCTCATAAACAGTACCCCTGTCGCGTTCACAACATCGACGCGTCGCACACCACCAATCGCCCCGCAAACAAACCACAACGCCCCCGAACAGCGCCCGCGTCACATCCTCCACCTCGCCGGCTACAGCATCCACACTCGCGGAATTACACGACCTGGATAGGTCAATTGCGTGGCTCGACCATTGGCTCAAAGTAACCACTGCCCTCGCATCCGACGCGCCTCCCGATCCCGAGCTCCGTGGCGTCGTACGGCGGAAGCTCATCGCCATGAGCGACGTGCACGCCCAGAAAGAGAGTGAGCGATATCGGGTGCGCGCCGAGCCGTTTGGCGCCGCGAGTGGCGACGACGGCTACGCTACCGAGTCTGACGTCGAGGAAGATGATCAGTCCGGTGACAAGGAGAGTGGCTACGGCGGCGACGACGACAGCGACGACGCGCAAAATCAGCTTCTGCCGGTTCGCCGCCGCCCGAGCACCGCGAATATCACGTCGTGAGCCCTCCGCCAACTTTCCTGCAGAACCGAGGTGAGCTCCGCTTATCTGATGTTCGATTTGGATGAATATTGACGCCCCCTGCGTGGCTCCAGCTCGCCCAAGTCCTGGTCGGCCGCCGCATGTCGCCAAACAGGGCGGCCAAGCATGCAGAGGCGACGATGTTCGGCGAGGGACTCATACAGCGGTATCTACCGCTGGCCAGTTCGCGTCGGAACGGCAAACAGCAGATACAGCCGGGCAAGGCGCCGCCTTGTCTCGCAAACGCCACCTCCAATACGACGCACCTTCGGGCCACGTCGACTGCGCCTCAGCCCTACTCGCCACAAGCAGCTACCGGGCGCTCTCTCGCCGACAGCTTTGGGCACATGCACCGAAGAGGGAGAACCAGAGAGAAAAGAAGAGGGCACTGGTGGTCTAGGAGAACAAGGAAGAGGCACGCTGCGAACAAGGAGAACGTCGCCGTCGGCCCCAGCAAGTACAACGATGACGAGCGTCATCATGAGGGTCCCAGGCCTAGGCGCAGCAGGCACAGCCCAGTCCTCCCGTCCTTCTGCCATCCGTCTCACCATGTGGATAGCCGTGACCGAGTCCACGCGGCAAGTGTTGCCAACGCGCCGACAGCTGCGCCCGCCGCGGTTGTTACTCCCCTTGCCTGCAGTCACCGCGCCAGGGCCCGCCGTCGTCGCGCCGGCCGCGTAGCCAGCCCAAGGTGCCTTCGTCGTCATACCGCCTCCGCCCGCCCCTGTATGCGTCCCGCCAATCAACCAAGTAGTCGCCGTCCTCC